TGGACCACATGAACCTCAAGGACAGATGGACCACATGAACTTCAAGGACAGATGGAACACATGAACCTCAGTGTGCACAGAAGAACTGGAGAGCGCACAGCTACCACTACTGCCTGCTCGAAGCACAATCACAGTGGAAGGTTGGACCCACTGCTGTGAGTCACTAGGACTCCCAGCGACTACACAGGACAGAGGAGACCTGCTCCCTAGGGCTTCCGGACTATCACTCTGTAAAGAAACAGACTGCCTTATCTTTCTCCCATGGAGTGGCTGATGGATTCAAGTTCCAGACCATTCAGTTGGCAGGCAGTGCTGGGCCCCGAGGACTCCTTTGGGCCCTGGGCAGAGTGGGAGCACCATGTAGAATAAAATTGTACATCATACAAAAGACCAGACTTACTGGTCATAGGGCGCCTGCTGGAATCCTTTAGACTACGACCCTTAGACCTTCTTCAAACCCGACTGACACCACTTCTGGGATCACCTTTCAGCCAGATGACAGACAGCCTGTGAAGGGAACAATGGCACCCACGAGGATTGTGATATCCAGAACATCCAGAACAATCAGCCTTCCGAGAACAAAGGGGCAGCGTTGTCATAAGCAGCAAGCTCAGCAGGCAGGAAGGGGCAGGGAAAGGGGTGAACGGAAAGGAGGAATGTTGTTCCATAGATACAATGTGTACAAATTATTGTACAGAACATGAATTCCTTCTATGAATGTTCACCTAGACCACAACAGGATGTTAAAAGTGTTCACATTTATGAATAAGTCACAAAAAGTTATTTTAAGGGTTTCAACCTATAAAATACCAACTGTTATCAAATGAGACTCAAAAAAGAACCTTCTAATCGATGGCACTCACTACAAGTCAGCCCATGATGGGAGTCACCATATTTTAATATGTGTGACAGGACCCTGGAGAAGCTTAATATTAATAGTCTACAGTGTGGATTTCCCTGAGAGCAGGGCTGATGCCCGTGGGCGTTAAAACAATCTTCTTCTGACATTCCGCACAGGCCACGGGCCTGCTGGGCACCTGCAGTAACACGTCTGTGGCATGGAACAGATTCGAGAAGATGGATGCTCCAGCTCAGACTTCCCTGACCCTCCAACTCATGCTCTGCCACCAGTCAATCCTGACTCACCGCCGGCTCCTCCCCGTGGGTTTCCAAGGCTGTAGCTGTTTGGGGGAGTAGAAAGCCCAGTCTTTCTCCAGAGGAGATGCTGGTGGTTTTGAACTGCCGACCATGCGGACTGCACGTAGCCATATACCCCAACCCATAACCACTATGCCACGAGGGCTCCATAAACTTGAACAGGGTGATTTGATTTTCCAGGCATCGCTGATTGTCTTCTTTCTTTGCTCACCACTACAGCCTACTTATCACACCAGCTCACCACCTGGGATGTGTCTTCCTGTCTGTCTGTAGTCTGAGCTATCGAGCTTTCTTTTCTTTTTTCTTTTTGATATCGAGCTTTCTGAGACTTACTCCCATGTTTATCCTCAGGAGCAAGAACACATGCCACCTTCAGCAGAGGGATGCGGGTGTGAGCTTTTCTCTCTGCCTTACCCCAACGTAAGCAAGTGGTTGATGTTGGCACCGCTGTTTTCAATTAGCAGTTAGTTAGATGGAGCCCGGGCCAGCCTCAATCCCCAAGGGCTGATTCTGACTGAGATCCGGGACCAAGTATCCCAGCCAGGGCGGTGGTTCATTGTTCACTGAAAACCCAATTCTGTTCTGTAGCCGAAATGCCCAGAATGCAGGTAGCTTCCAGCCTCACCTTCTGTGTCTGCTCCTTCCAGGGCTCCTTCTGCAGCAGAAGAAGCATGCTGCTGGGAAGCAGAGTGTGCACCTCCTCCAGCGTGACCCTGTGCATGGGACTCCTGCCCAGGAGGCTGGGTGCTGACCCAGCTGAGCCAACGTGCCATGGCAGCCAGCTGGCACTGAGGCCAAGAAGGAGAGGGGCCCCGTGGTCTGCCCATGCAATCACTGTTGCTGCGAATATCAGCAACCAGAAGTCCAGAGCCTACAATGAAACGAGAAACAGTTAGCAACATGTCTCACCGATTCAGAGTGACAGGCGTTCACACACACACACAGTCATGAGGTAATGCTGTCCTGTCCCTCATCCACTCCCTCCTCCTCCCCCTACCTAGCCCAAGAGGACCTGCCATGAACAGCAAATCAAATTTCTCAACTCCATCCAGAGACATCTTAGTGCTTTAGGGATTACTGGTGTGGCCCTCTTATGAAGGCCAGGGCCCAAGAATCTCATTATTATTGCTCTGACATTTCAGCAGAAGCACAGTTTGCTCAATTCCTGCTCACACCGAGATCCAAACACTCCTCAGCTTAGAAAGACATTAAGAAACTAAGAGGGACATGAAAAGAAATACTTAGATGTTATGTGGGGGCAACGGATTCTGAGAAATATGAATATAGCCTAATCCATTTTGCTGTGGAAATGTTACCAATTTTTAAGGATACAATTCAGTGTCACCAATTACATTCACCATGGCAAGCGGCCCACACCACGATCCATTCCATTCCAGAGGTTTTAGAGCCTCCCACACACTCAGCACCTTTTCAGCGGTCCTTGCCACCCTCCTTCCTTCGCTCTCTATCAGCTTTTGTCCTTGGGCACTTCTATTTTATATACTCCGTCGATGTGGACCATGCAAGCTCTCTGTTCTCTTGTGTCTGACAAAGTGCACTCAGAGCCTGATTCCATTTTTGAACAAAAATGGGCTCCTCCTTAAGACATTTAACTTTCTAGAATCTATCCATTGAGATTATAGACTAATTTAGAAGCATATAGAAATGGGGGGCAGGGGTCACCTTATTGGATTCAAAACTAAACAACCCATTGCTCTCAAGTCAGTTCTGACTCGCTGTGAGCCCACGTGACGGAGTGACACTGCCGCAGAGGGGCTCTGCAGCTGGCTGTGCTCTTGCTGGGACTAGCTCACACGCCTTTCCCGAGGAGCTGCTGGAGTTCGGTCTTCAGACTTCTCCATCAGCAACTGGGTGCTTGAGCCACTCCACCCAGTGGTCTGTTGTTGGGTCACTGGGGTTGAAATTCTACTTTTTTCTGCTTTTCTGTCGTCTATCCATTTTTTAAAGGTACAGTGTGTTGGAAAACAGATGGACACTTGAGGAAGCAACAGGCGAAAAAAAGAACACGCTATATATAATCCACTCAAAATGATTCTTCAAAAGTGAAGGGAAAAATAAAGATATTTACAGGAAAAATAAATAAATAAATAAAATTCAAAAGTACTCCACAATCTCTTAAAAGCCCTACATTCACTCCCTAAATTTTCAAAAAGACACAGGGTTCTTCGTGAAAGCCGGCAGAATTTCAAACAATCGTCCTGGTGAGGCAAATTCTAACCCACCCCGTAAAGGGGGCACGCAGGACAGCAGCCTGGAGAAAAGGCACACCTCCTGCCAAGAAGTGCCCCGTGGGCAGCGAGGCAGGCAAGTGAGGACGCGCGGAGCGGGCAGTCTTCCGGCCTTTTCCTTTTAATCTCACTCAGCGGAGGTTAGCCTTCCTGACCCATAGCAGGTCTGATCGAAGTTTACCTCCAATAAGTGCACGCATGCCTCTACGTAGGGGCACATAGCCAGGTTCTCTGCACATACTTCTGGAACCTCTTTGGGGGATGGTGCCTCTGTATTCCCAGGTCTTTCAGCCCAAGTCCACAGCACCCTCCCCCTCTTCCCTCGGGTTCTTTGTGCTCGGCCTGCCAAAGAACCTGTCTCGAACTGAGTTCGCAGCGCAGCCTGTGGTGTCCCCTGAAGCCTGCAGGGGACACCTGTTTCTTGGTGGACTCAGAGCCGTTACCAGTGTGGCACAAAAATGCAGGCAAGGAGAGGGAAACTCCAAGCACCCTTTCTGCTCGTGAACGCATGCGTCTACATTTGGAGGAAGCGGCCCCTTCCTCTGATAGACTGTACCTCTTCCGGGGCCACATTCTGAGCAGCTGTCGACTGGTAAGCCACATTTCTGATATAACCCATCATCTCCAAGAGCCACTCCATTCTTTTCAGCACACCTGAAGTGAAAAGAGCCGTTTATTACCACCACGCCTCCCCTATTCGGACGTAAAGGTTTTTACTCCTCAGGGTGATCACACCTAGCTGCTGAGGCAAAAACCCGTGTGTCTCTTTTTTATTGTGCTAAACATATATGCATTGCAAGAGTGGCTGCTTCAATACTTTTGGCACGGCCATGGCCCAGGTAATGGAAGCAGAAGCTGTTGGAGGGATTCCACGGCAGCTCACTCTCTCCCTCCCGGAGCACCCGAGCCAGGCAACTGCATGTGAGATGTCGCCTGCTGACAACAGGTGAGAGTCGCCTGGTCTTTAGTTTCACGCGTTTGGTTGCGGGAAGCAGCCCACTTCTCCTCACAGGTGCATTTTTCAGTGAGCAGGCAGGCGCTCACTCACTCAGGCACCATGATCTCAACTACCAGAGAGGAGGAGGCATCAATGTTTCTTGTACAGTCTTGAAAGGAGTATTACAATCAACTTTAGAGACATCCGAGAAAATGGGGCCCAGAAACTGAAGTAGTTTGTCTAGGGTCAACGTTTGTCTAGGGTCTAGGGCCACTGCTGGTCCCCTTGAGTTAAATGCAGATCCCCAGAACCTGAATGCAGACTTGAGAAGTTACAGACACGACCAAGGAGATAGGAGGTGGGGAGCTCCTTGCTCCAAGGGATAATTCAGGTGCAGTGTCAAAAACGGTCTGAAAATTGCACCAGGGAATTCAGCGGAGAGCTTCAGGCTTAGAGCCTCTGATTTGCAGAGAGAGGTAGGGTGGCTACATTTTTCTCTTCTCGGCCCTGGGAGGGTCTGCATAGAATAGCTACTTAATTTCACTGTTGCTAGTTTTTGTTGGTTCATCAATCGACCACACAAAAGGCTACCCCATCCTCCCCAAAGGTTCAGATAGCACCAGCCTACTGGGGAAGCTGCAGTGAAGTAGGCAGAAGCAATTCGGAGACTTGTCTGAGAGGGCCTGAAGGGTCGAGTGCAGCATAAAAAGTGGCTGAGGTGCGCTGTGATTGCTCATGCCCACCAAGGTGCTCCTCTGTATCTAGGGTGGGAAGGCTCAGCCTGGGTCAGCCCAGGGCCAAGCAGGATTTCTCCAAGAAGCTCGTTTTGAAGTCGAGAAAAAGACAACTGACAAGGGTGGGCAGGCGGCAGGCATGTCTGATTCATGCACGCGCAGGCTGGCCTCACCCGTGCTGGCGTGGCTCCCAATCCGTGCCTGGTACACGCTGTGCAGGATCATCCAGGCCAGCGTCTGCCTCTCCGGGTGCTGCGCAGCCGCAATGAGGACATCGGTCAGGTGTATCAAGGGGAGCCGGCCTTGGGAGATCAAGTACAGCTGGACAAAGGTGGCTTTTTCGATGTTGCTCTGCAAAACAGGACAGTTGTTCGGTTAGTATGACTGGAAGCGGCTCCAGAGTCCTGAGGGTAGGGACAGGCAGAGGGGGCCAGAGGACTATTTTGAATGCCAACACCGCGCATTTCCTGTCGCAAGTGGCCTATGTGCCTATGTTTTATGTCAACATGCCCACTCACAGAGTGCACTGTAACATCATCTCCACATTTTTCACACGACACACACATGTGCTCAGGTGTTACATAGCTGAATAGGATGTGGATGAAATCAGATGCACGTTCTATCTAGTCGGTCCTGATGTTCAAGGACAGTGCAGGACCTCCCGACAGGGTTCCCAAGGCTATAGATCTTTACTGAAGTAGACTCCCACATCTCTCTCCCGGGGAGTGACTGGTGGTTCGAACTTCCAGCTTCTTAACCGCCAACCGAGAGCTTTCAACCACTGTGTCACAAGGCTCCTTGGTGGTTTTGGGTGAGGGTGTATAAATAGTAATAGCAATGATAACTAATGAATACAAGGCTTGTGTGCCAGGCACCCATCCCACGCATGAACTGCCATCCCAGAAATCTGCTAGACTGTCCTCAGGCTGACGCTCAAACACATTCTAAGGATCTGTGAGGTCAAATGGCTTTTAGAAAGTGACTCACCATTCGCTAGTCTAGCCTTTTCCACTCTGTTCACATTTGTGCTCAGAGTGTAAAGTCAAAGGTGGGTAGAACTGCCGGCCCCTTTGCATGATCAAAGTCAGAGCACCAACATCCCTGGCAAAGCAAAGCAAATGAGCTTCACAGAAAATGCTCGCGGTGAAGCAATAAGATGATTGATTTCCTTACCCATCTACCTGAGTGCACACCTTTTGGGTATTCCAGGTAATAACATGGGCAGTGCACACATGGGCATCTGCTGCACCCCCACGCACAGGGCTGCCTCCAGGAACAACACCTGGGTGGTTTAGTTGTTGAGAAGAATAGCCCAGCCTTTTCATGGAATACCAATTATCGGACAAGATGACCACGGTTATTCCAACTGGGTGTCTGACAAGTCATTTCCTTAAACCCGAATGGAGTGAGCCTGTAGCTTTACGACAAATAACCAATCGTATTTGTTGCCAGTGATAAAAATCCCAGCTTTGAAGCAAAAAAAAAAGAAAGCGCATTTTGGAAAATTGCTATTATTATGAAGCTTAGGAGCCCGTTGACACAGTGGTTTCAGAGCTCAGGTACTAACCAGAAGATTGGTCACTTGAACCCATTGGCTACTATGCAGGAGACAGATGTGGTGATCTGGTTCACAAAGATTACAGCCTGGAGAACCTTAGGGGGCAGTGCCAGCATGCTTGATGGGGTGGCTGAAAGTGAGTATTGACTTTACTGCATGGGTTTGTTTCTTTTTGGTTTACCAGGACTTTGGCAGTTTTTTAGCAGCAAAAGCCTTTTCTGATAATCTTGGCAGTAAAGTTAGCAAAGATGACATTTTATTAGAGAATAATGAACTATGAAAGCATATAGAAGATCTTAAAAATTCAGTGACCCAGTATTTCCCAAAGGACCAATGTGTGATGTTAAAAATCATGCCTGGGTAAAAGAGCCAATGTAACAGAGAATATGAAATGCATCGATACAGTTTTAGAAACCAGCTTCCAAGAAAGCTTATGAAGCTACCTACCATGTTTTTTTCCCTCCTTTTAAATAATTTTATTGGGGGCTCGTACAACTCTTATCACAATCCATACATCCATCCATTGTGTCAAACACATTTGTACATTTGTTGCCATCATCATTCTCAAAACATTTGCTTTCTACTTGAGCCCTTGGTATCAGCTCCTCACTTTTCCCCTCTCCCTGCTCCCCCTTCCCTCATGAACCCTTGATAATTTATAAATTATTCTTATTTTGCATGTTTTACACTGTCTGACATCTCTGTTCACCTACTTCTCTGTTGTCCATCCCCCAGGGAGGGGTTATATGTAGATCCGTGTGATAGATTCCCCCTTTCTACCACACCTTTCCCTTACCCTCCTGGTATCACTACTCTCAATATTGGTCCTCAGGGGTTTATCTGTCCTGGATTCCCTGTGTCCCCAGCTCTTGTCTGTACCAGTGTAAATCCTCTGGTCTAGCCAGATTTGTATGGTAGAATTGGGATCATGATAGTCGGGGTGGAGGAAGCATTAAAGAACTAGAGGAAAGTTGTATGTTCATCGTTGCTATACTTCACCCTGACTGGCTCATCTCCTCCTCGAGACCTTTCTGTAAGGGGATGTGCAATTTCCTACAGATGGGTTTTGGGTGTCCATACCGCACACCCCATTCACAATGATATGATTTTTTTGTTCTTTGATACCTGATACCTGATCCCATCGACACCTTGTGATCACACAAGCTGGTGTGCTTCCATGTGGGGTTTGTTACTTCTCAGCTTGATGGCCCCTTGTTTGTCTTCAAGTCTTTAAGACCCCAGACACTATCTTTTGATAGCCAGGCACTATCTTTTGATAGCCGGGCACCATCAGCTTTCTTCACCACATTTGCTTATGCACCCGCTTTGTCTTCAGCAATCGTGTAGGGAAGGTGAGCATCATGGAATGCCAGTTTAATAGAAAAAAGTGCTCTTGCATTGAGGGAGTACTTGAGTAGAGGCCCAATGTCCATTTGCTACCTTAAGACTAAACCTGTAAATATATGCATATAGATTTCCCCATTGTCATATAAAAATGTTTATATATGTACATGCCTGTATTTAGACCTCTACAAATGCCTTTTGCTTCCTAGCTCTTTCCTCTTGTCCCACTATCATGTTCAGCCTTCATTTGGGTTTCATTTGGCTGTCTTGGTTACACTGCCCTTGATCAAGCCCTACCAGACCTCCTACTTGTTCCCTTGTCCTTTGGTTTGTTAACACCCGCTTCCTTTCCCCCACCTCCTTCTCTCCCATGTCCCTCCAGAACTGCTGGTCCAGTTGCTTTCTCCTCCACATTGTTTAGCCTGCCTATCTTATCTAGATAGACCTACAGAGATAATAATATGCACAAAAAACAAGACAGAGCAAAACAAAGCAACAAAAGAAAAGAAAACAACAACAAAAAAAGAAAAGTCTGTTAATTGTTCCAGGTCTGTTTGTTGATCTTTAGGAGTGTCTTCCGGTAGAATCTGATGGGGTGCCACACCCTGGCCCCAAAGTCTATTTTTGGTATTCCCTTGGGACTTCCTTGCTCTGCTCCCCTTGCTGTTCTGTTGCACGCCCTAGTGCGTATGCTATTTTGTAGTCAGAGTCAATATAGGTTTGCCATGAGTGGTACTAGACTTAATGGCAGTGATTTGTTGAGGTTTTCTAAACCAGTATCAAAGGATAAGCACAATTATCTGAAAAGACTATTAACACTCTTCTTCTCTTTCCACCTACATATGTGTGCAATACGACATTTTCTTCCCATCCTTCGCCCAAGTGACCTCAGAGCAGATTTTGTGGAGCAGCAGCAGTGACAACTCAGCTGTCCTTATTAAACCAGACACGAAAGAGCTTTAAAACAACCTGGGACCGTTTGCATTCAATTCAGCGCTTTTTTGTTTGTTTGTAATTTTCTTATGTGAACATGTAAAGGGTTTATTCTTAAATTTGAATTTTTTTTGTTTTAGCTTCTAGTATGGTAAATATTAACAGACATATGGCCCCTATAAATAAATCTCTTTTTAATAACACTTAAGTTGTTCTAAGACCCCAAAGCTTGGATACTATTGTTAACCACCATGTGGCTCTCACACTAAGTCGATGGGGTAAATGACTGCTATCATCCCTCCCTTCTGATGGGGAAACTGAAGCATGAAAGCTACAAACTTTGCTTAAAGTCACAAAGATCAAGGTGGCAGAGCAAGGACTGGAACCTAAGGAGTTTAAACTACTCACCACTACTTTATTCTGACCTCAGTTCTCCACATACTCTCACCCCCACCCCCGGGACCTCTTTATGAAACCTTGAATAGGACACAGATAAATCATCCGGATGAGGGAGAGCATCACCATGAGGCCATGATGGTGTCATGGCCATGTGGCTAAGTATTTAAATAAAACAACGCCAACAGCACAAACAAAAACTCAACGCCATCAAGTCGATTCTGAGTTACTGCAATCCTTTACGACAGGGTAGAACTGCCCCTGTGGCTTTTTTTTTTAAGATAAATAAATCATTTTATTGGAGGCTCCTACAGCTCTCACAACAATCCATACATCAATTGTGTCAAGCCCATTTGTACATATGTTGCCTTCATCATTCTCAAAATATTTTCTTTCTGTTTGAGACCTTGGTATCAGCTCCTCTTTTTTCTCCTCCCTCCCCCACTTTCCCACCCACATGGACCCCTGATAAATTATTGTTATTTTCATATCTTACTGTCTCCCTTTGTCCACGTTATTGTTGTTCGTCACCCTGGGGAGTGGGTGGAATTGTGCGTCATTGTAGTTGGTTTCCTGTTTCTCCCTTTTTTCCCCTCATGGTATCTCTACTCCCATTGCTGTTCCTCAGGGGTTCATCTGTCCTGGATTCCATGGGCTGAGACTCGTATCTGTACCAGTGTATGTGCTCTGGTCTAGCCGGATTTGTAAGGTAGAACTGGGGTCATAGTAGTGGGCAAGAGGAAGCATTAAAGAACTAGAGGAATGTTGTGTGTTCCATAGGTGTGTGCTGCACCTTGGCTGTCTCGTTCTCTCCTTGTGACCCTTCTGTGAGGGAATGTCCAATTATCTACAGATGGGCGTTGGGTTTCCACTCCAACCTCCATCATTTGCATCTTACCTCAATTCTTTCCAGAAATGAATAAGTAACTCTGACCTCAGCAGAGCACACTAACTCATTGGGGCGATCAGATATTCTCTCTGGCACTTTAAGAACCCACGTGAATGTCTCACGGCTAACAAACTGTTGTGGAAGCAGACGGCCAGGCCTGTCACTCAGAGAGCCCGATGGGGGTCTACCCACCAGTCTTCAGTTAGCAGCCAAGCACTTAACCACCATGTCACCAGGGCTCCTTTGCTAGAACACTGGAGGGCTGGATTTAGGAACCTTGGCTCCAGAGCCCATTTCTGTAACTATCCTGTTACACTTCATATGCATCAAGTGTGCAGATAGACTATTTATGCTTTGTATATGCCGGAAAGTTCTTTGGTCATAATATGCCCATTCCAATGGCTTTTGTATTGAAGATGGGGTTTTCACTTATTTTTGCCCATAAAATCTGTTACCCACAAGTCACCTCTGACTCCTGGTGGCACACATAGGGTATGTGACAGGTTTGCCCCCATCAGGCTTTTAAGGGCTGATTTCCCACAAGTACAATGCCAGGCCTTCCTTACAAGATACCTCTACATGGGTTAAAATATCCAACCTTTGACTCACAGCTGACAATGTTAACCATTTCCATGACCAAGAACTTATTTTCTTCCTCCCACCTCCCCACAGGTGACCCTAAAATGTTCTTGCCAAGCACGAGAAAATGAGTTCATCTATGTTTCCATCCACACCACATATATTAACCTACTAGCCAAGGTACTAGCAGCCAAACAGAAAGGTGGGTTCCTGGAATTGATGAGAAATAAGTATGAAGTCAAAATGATACTGCAATCATTCCTTCAATTGTAAATCTTACCTCAGAGAGAGAGAGACAGTCAGACACACCATTACCTTAGTAATCTGGGCTACTCGCCGGGCGTCATCATCTGTCATTTCCGAGAGGCATTTGGCCACACTGATGTACAGCTCTACATCATTTCTCTGGGAAAGGGAGGTCCCAAGCACGTCAAAATACATCATAAGAGAGCATGTCAATTCTCAATGTCTGGCCAAACTATCAGATTTATTTCCATGAACCCAGCTAACGACATTTCTATTTTAACCAAACTGCAACATACGATCAATTTTTATGATTTCAATCTCCTGTAACTGTATCTATTTGTTTGGCTGTGATTATGACCACCCCCACTCCCCGGCTTATTCTGTCATTCAGAGTAGATGTGTGTCCTTTTTGGAAAGCTGTGATTTGTAGGCCTGCAGCTGGGGAGGGGAAGGTGGAGTTTGCAACCGTTGGACATACACAGCATGATGACTATAGGTCAGGGCTTCCCGCAGTGTGAAATGCCTGGGTTCTACAAGCACTTGATACAAAGCCTGACGACACACTTCGTGGTGCAGCACTGGCTGACCCGCGTCTGAGCTGGCTCAGAACTTTGGTTCCGGATATGCAACCTCAATGTAGACCTTGGAAGCAAATGCACTGCCAAGGGAAGAATGTGGTCGTTTCTTTGTGGCTTTCCCACCCACATTCTAAACACACACACTGCCGTGCTTTGCCAAAAGAGCTTTTTAAAAAAAAATTCTTTTATCTTATTTTATTTATTTATTTTTTAATAGTTTTATTGGGGCTCATACAACTCTTATCACAATCCATACATCCATCAATTGTGTAAATCATCTTTGTACATTCATTGTCTTCATCATTCTCAGCACATTTGCTCTCCACCTAAGCCCCTGGCATCAGGTCCTCTTTTTTTCCCCTCCCTCTCCGCTCCCCACTTCCTCATAAGCCCTTGATAATTTATAAATTATTATTTTGTCATATTTTGCCCTGTCCGACGTCTCCCTTCACCCACTTTTTTGTTGTCCGTTCCCCAGGGAAGAGGTCACATGTAGACCCTTGTAATCGGTTCCCCATTTCCAACCCACTCTCCCTCTATGCTCCCAGTATCGCCACTCTCACCACTGGTCCTGAAGGGATCATCCGCCCTGGATTCCCTGTGTTTCCAGTTCCTATCTATACCAGTGTACACCCTCTGGTCTAGCCAGACTTGCAAGGTAGAATTGGGATCATGATAGTGGGGGGCGGAGGAAGCATTTAGGGACTAGAGAAAAGTTGTATTTTTTAAGAAATCCCAAACACAAACTGTCTGGAATGTACATATATCTATATATAGATCTATTTCCCCTACCTGAATCTTATTTGGCAGAAGGTCAAAAATCTTCCCCACAGTGTCGCAGAGCAGACTCCAGAGGTGGTGGGTCGGGCTGGGAAGTTTCATGGCCTGGCTCAAACCCTGTAAGGCTGTCTGGCATAACTCAGCACCGGAAACAGAAGGAGCGGCTTGAAAAACTGCCACCATTAAGTTTTCAACAAAAGCCAGGACCTGTTCCTCAGCGACATGTTTCATCCAGAGAGGTGCAGACACCAGGAGGTATTTCTTGGTATTCAGCTAGAGGCAAAACAGAAGCGGTCAGATGTAAACAGACAAGTCTAGGTTTGCAGCGCTCAAAACCTGCAGGTCATCACTGGGCTTGAAGGTCACGGGAGAAATAAGCACTTCAGGCTTCTCCCTTCGCCTTCATTTGCCCGTCTTGTTCTGGTCCAATGGGCCGCCAATGCCCACAACTTTGGTTGCTGTAGTTACTTCCGATCCACGCCAGGGTGACTCATGTGCATGTATGCTATCTGCCAATCCATCTGTGAACCACCCAGCATAAACCTTGCCTCTTTTCAGAGAAATAAACGCTATTTCTGCAGGTAGGTGAGGGTTGGTATTGTTTTGAAAGTCACACTCCGTGGCATGAAATGCTCTGAAGAGTCCAGGATCAACAGCGCTGGAAAACTAGTGCTACTCTTCTACTCCAATACCCACCAGCCCCCAAGCTCCTGGGAGAAAGACAGCTTACAGTCTCCAGCACTCCCCGCGGGCGCTCTCCCTTGTCCTCGGGAGTAGCTATGAGTGAGTGAGCCCCAGACAATGAGCTCTAAAAGTGAGCTCAGATAACTGGCTGCTTTGTTAATCAGCAAGAACAGTCCATTTTAAGAGCTTTAAATAATTCAACCTTGGCTAAGGTTTCACAGACCACATTCTGAAACTGGTGCTGTTGGGAAAGCGCTGGATGGCCAACCACAGGGTTAGTGGTTCAATCCCCACTCCCCCAACTGCTCAGCAGGAGAAAGAAGAGGATGTCTGCAAATGTAAGTACTTCATCTCGGAAACACTATGTAGGGTCAATCTGAGAAGCACGGGCCAGATGGTGGAAAAATGTAAAGATGATTGCTGGTAAACCACCACGGAATCATGGAATGTGCGTTTCCTGCCCTAGCTGGACAAATACTAAAAGTTGCACATCTTTGCTAATTTCACATTTTAACATACTCTTGTTCTATTCTTCCTATCTACCCTTAGCCTATACCCAGAGAGGGCTGGCCCTCTATTTATCACAAATACCAGGCTTACTCAGTGCTTCTGCACTTTGCGCAAACGCAACTGCCCAGTAGGGGTGCTCTAATCTATCACCCCCACTGCCCACCCACAGCTCTGAGTGCCTTTAACACGAAGTCCAGCCAATCCTATTCTGCCCCCTCTATGAAAGCAGGGGCTCACAGATGGATGAGTCCAGTGAATGTGGATTGTCTTTTTCCCTAATATCTACTGGACTGATTATATCTACCACATAGCATAAGAAAATACACCTAGGTTCAAATGGCTCCCCAACTTTCTAACTGCATAGACCTGGGAAAGGAATTTTAATCCCTCTGATCATCAGTTTCTTTAATTGTTGTAAAATACAGTCTGTAAACCCCCTTCTATAAGTTGCTGTGGGTTTCTCGACAAACAATGGTTAGAAAGACCTAGCAGTGTGGTTATCATAGAGCATGCAATTAATAAAAGCGCAACTGGTGTTCATGGGCTACGCCCAGAGGGGTCTAAAAACTACTTCGCGACTAATATGGATTGATCATAAAAATAAATCACATATTCCAGTGCTTTCAAATTCTGGCCCATTGCCCAAGCTTTCTAATACCTGATAATGCCAAACACGAATGATAATGGTTACGCTGGGATTCTGAGTCACCCAGCTTTCCAATCTGCTGGCCAAATACAGTGAAGACCTCAAAAGATGTTTATAAAATCCCCTTTGCCCATTCTTGATTTTGAGGACACACACACATGAATGTCAATTTTCCCAAAGAGAACCACATCCTCCTGGTGCCCGGCACCCCCCATGGCACGTACGCTCAGCCCCTGGATTAGCGGTGGCGTCGCCCACAGGCCCAGCAGGGCAGCTGCATTCTGCGACGACTGTGCCTGGGTCGCCATGATTGCAAGGCCCAGCTGCTGAATCTCTTCACCTGAAAGACAGGGGAGGGAAGAGTCTTTGACACGTAGCTGTGTCGCGGCCTCGTTTTGTGGCCTTTGTGTCTCAGATGAAAATATACCTGCGTGTGATTCTGCAGGGCAACGAACTTCCAGAAGTCAAAAAAGGGATTTTAAGTGGCCTTCAGGTGCAGAAGCAGAAGAATGTGCCCCCGAGGGTGAGAGTCCCAAGGGACCTGAGAATTGGCAAGGGGCTTTTATTTATTACAAAGGGTTTTTTAAATGATATGAAGATAAACCCAAACACTCACATACAAAACATCTTGAGAAACTCCTTATAAAGATGTCTCTGTTTCCCTTTCCTTTCCCCTTGTAACTAGCAGGTAGAGACCGAGCCAGGTCTGGGTTGGTTTAAAGAAGGAGTCACATTCACTAGGGAGCCAGTCTTTTAGTCTGATTCCCAGTAGTGGAGGTGTTTTCCCAATTAAGCCTTTTTCTGCTTCGTTTTTTAAAAATACCTCAAAGGGTCTTTATGAAAACACAAATATGACCAATACTGCACATAGGCAGAGTGCACAAACTATTTTTCAAATGGCATCTGTGGATGCGCAGTGCAGTGCCATCCTATTTTACACAGGGGTTGGGTTCAAATGAAAGCATTTAAGTAGGAAATTGGATAGAATCAAAGTTGCCCTTACTTGTTCCTTAAATTGCACCTAAGCTAGAGTACCTAAGTCCTTTCCCATAGTTTAAGTAAGCATTCTAGTAAAAGTAACCGTACACTTACAACAAACACACATGTCATTTTACAACGTTGTTTAAATTGCCTTTCCTCTTTTGGGTGGGAGGGAGTGTAAACTACGTGACTTTATACCTGCATATGCTAGCCCCCTGCTCTCTGAAAGAAGCTGCTGTGAGCGAATGGCAGGTGGGTGTTGCACTTGCCTCACAGCATAAAGTGTTTGTGGCAAGTAGGAAAAGGACCTCTCAGAATGTCCATAATCTTAATCCCGAGATCTCTGAATATGTTACCTTTCTGGCAAAAGTAACTGCAAATGCAACCGAGGGTACGCACCTTGAGTTGGGAAGAGCATCCGTATTACTGGGGTGGCCCACGAACCACACAAGTCCTTAAAAGTACAAACACTTTCCTGGCTGCAGAGGAACGGAGGAGGGCAGTGTGCCAAGTTCTCTGCCTACAGTGGCTGGCTTGGAAAGCTGACTAAGAAGGTCACTAGTCAAGGAATGTGAGCAGACTCTAGAACAGCAGCTTTCAACCTGTGGGTCGCGACCCCTGTGGGTCATAACAGTAGCAAAATTACAGTTATGAAGTAGCAACGAAAATAATTTTATGGTTGGGGGAGGGGTGGTGTCACCACAACATGAGGAACTACATTAAAGGGTCACAGCATTAGAAAGGTTCAGAACCACTGCTCTAGAAGCTTTAACAGGAAAGGAAATGGATTCTGCCCTTGGGCTTCTACAAACGAATGTGGCTGGCTATCCTGTGGGCACAGGCAGTGAGACCAGTAAAACATTGAACTTCTGAAGTACAGAACTGTAAGATTATAAAACTGTTGTTTCAAGTCACTCAATCTGTGGCACTTTGTTATGAGAGCAACAAAAACCACTAATATGGCACTTCCTTGAAATCAGGGCTCCGACAAATGCAGGTGGGAGCCCTGGTGGTGTCGTGGGTTACGTATTGGACTGCTACCTGCAAGGTCAGTGGTGTGAAACCACCAGCTGTTCTGTGGGAGAAAGATGAGGCTCTTTACTCCCGCACAGAGTTAGTCTTAGGAAGCCACTGGAGAAGTTCTACTTTGTCAGATAGGGTCTCTAAGTGTCAGAATCCCCCCATGGCAGTGAGCGTGTTTACAAATGCAAGTTTGATATCCACCAAACCTGGCTTCAGGGGACCCATACCTCACCCTAGATTACTAGACACAATGTAGTCAAGGATTGCATCAACTGAGTACATGTGGCTTTTCTGTGGACTTCCTGATCTTCATCTTTAGCTATCTGTAAAAAGACTCACTGAAGGCGAGTCTCATCCATGCAGACAAACCTCAGGACCTCTGAGAGGAATGCAGTCACTAGCAGTTACAAAGGGGCACAGCATCTACTTTTCTGTGTAAAACAGAATCCAAAGGTCTCTGCACACTTGAAACTTACCAAAGTTGAGTCTCATCAGTGGAGAGAGGAGTGCAGCCCAATTCACAGGCGGGTATTGGTAACTTGCTCCAATAGCTGCTATGGGCTTCATCACTACCTTAAGAAGAGAAGGAGGTACGGACTCGGGACCTGCAACAGAAAGGAAAAACCAATAATGAAACACCTCTATAGCACCATGAATATAGAAACGGTCAACTTTCCCTTCTTTGTCTTGTGTCAATTGTAAGTAATCCTTCTATCTGGACTCCTTTAACAACCCCATTAGAACAGAACGTCACATCCTCTTGTTTTTCTCTCCCTTTTCCCGTCAGTTTTTTTCTCTTATCTGGGTGGGTCTTCATATTCCGTATCTCTAGCTAGCTGTCTTACATTATAATCCTTGCCTTTCCTTTCATTTTCTTAAAGGAGAGACTTCCTCTAACATGCTTGCCTCCTGCCTCACTCAGCCCTTGATCTACGCCCACCGGAGAGGACACTGACCGATGGCATGCTCAGGCGCAGACCTTTCAAAGTACTATGGACGACTCCCAGCCCTGGAGGCGCTAGATCAGGGGTCGGCAAACTGGCTGGTGAGCCATGTGTGGCTCTGTGGGTATGTACATGTGGCTCGGAAGTAACACTGAAAATGGAAAAACAAAAAAACCTTTATTCAGATCATGGTGATTTCACTTGTTTATAAAAATATATTTATTTGTGGTTCTGGAACAATTTTTACATGGCTGTGAAGGACAGGGTTGGCTTTTCTGTCTCAAATGTTTGCTGACCCCTGCTCTAGATGGTCCTGTTTCACGGCCTCATTCTCTGTCTCGGCTGACGCCCAGAGGTGAATCCACAGGCATCCTTTTAGTATTATGTCCTTTCTCGGGGAGTAGGGGCATAATTTGGAATTGAGAAACGAAGACACTGGGCAGTTATGAGTGTAAATGTAAAGGCACCGTGTTGGCTGGAATAAACTACTAGGGCCATGTGCAAGTGACCTGGGAGTCGGAAGTGAGGTATTCAAAAAGAGAAATGGTCAAGGAGGAGAAAAAAAGGCAACAGAAAGAAAAACATCAGCAAGAAGAAAAACATAGCAGGGAAAGGAGAGTCAAGGGAAAAGGAAATGCAGAGGTAATGACAATAACGACAAAAGTGGAATCGGTAGAAATGGTTAAAAATGTGGACACAGGGAGAGTGAGCCAGAATCAGAAAATGAAATGTGCAAAGGCAGAGTAAGAAAAGGAAAAACAGCCCTTCCAAAGAAGGGGAAAGGGGAGGGGCCAGGATGGGAAACAGAAAGGGGGCGGGGGCAGGGCAGGCTGAGTCAGAGAAGGAAACAGGGTGGAGCCAGAGCGAGGACAGCGGCAATAAGAAGTGACAGAGAGGGCGAGCAGAAGCAAACCCAGATAACCGCAGGCAGAGGGAACCGAAAGGAGGCCACGTTACGAAAGAGAAACAAGGTGCGGTCCGAAGAGGAAGGAAAGCCGCAAATGAGACGCTGTACAGAGAAGGGAAGCAGAGGCTGAGGCCGAAGAGGAAACAGGACGGCGTGAGAAGAGGAAGAACGGCTGGGAGAGGGAGAAGTCATAAGAAAAAGGAAAGGAGGAGCGCAGCCAGTGGGGAAGGCGAATTGCAGACACTGAGAGGAAGGGAAACGGAAGCCGAGTCAGAAGAAGGAAGCAGGATGGAGCTGGAAGAGGAAGAACAGTTGTAAAAAAACAAGTTATATTACAAGGAAAGCAGGAACGAAACCAGCAGAGGAAAAACTGCAGAAACTGAAATGAGGGGGAACCAGGCTGTTGGAAAAAGGAAACAGGAAACAGGGCAGGGCCAGGAGAGGAAGAGCCGCGGCAAATAGGAGGAGCCGTATGCAAATACGCAGAAACTGGAAAAGGGGGGAAGTAGAGGCAGATTCAAAAGAGAAAAACCGCTGCAAAAAGGAGAAACATTAGCTAAAAGGAGAGGCCGAGGTGAAGTCACCCGAGAAAGCAGAATCATCGGCAGAAACTGAAAAAGGGAGACACAAGTCAGAGTCGGAAGAGGAAGAAGCGCTGTAGAAAGGAGAAGCAGATTTAAAGAATACAGGCAAAACCTACAAAAAAAGAACAATTAACAGACACTGAATAATGGGAAGTAGAGGCAGAGGTAGAATCAGAAGAGAAAACAGCTACCAAAAAAAAGAGGCTACCAAAAAAAAGGAGAGGCAGAAAGAAAAGACAGAGTCGGTCAGAAAAGGAAGCACGCAAAGGCAAGAGTGGAAGGCAAAAGCAGCCGAAGGAAAATAGCTGCAAAAAGGAAAAGCAGAGAAAAAAAATTTAAGTTGGGGCAAAATCTTTGGGAAAAAGTAGAAGAATGAGCAGAAGCTAAAAAAAGAGAAAGCAGATGTAGAAGCTAAAAAAAGAGAAAGCAGAGGTAGAGGTAGAATCAGAATAGGAAAAGAGATGGAAATTAAAACACCCCAAAACAATGGAAGCAACTGGAAAAACAACAACAACCAGAGGGAAGCAGTGGAGGCTGAGTCAGAAGAGGAAACAGACTGTAAGAAAAGAGCAGCATTAAACATGGACAATTCAGGCCAAGCCTACAGAAAATGAAGACTCAGCAGAAAGGGGAAAGAGAGGAAGCAGGGAGAGTCAGGAGAGGAAGAGCCGCGGTATAAAAAGGAAACCCCGTAAAAAGGGGTGGGGGCATAGGCAAAACCCACAGAAAGAAGAAGAAGAATATAAACTGGAGGAAGCAGTCAGATAAAGGACTAACAGCTGTAGAAAAGCAGTCGCCTAGGACAAAAGAGAGGCCAAGGCAGATAGGAACCAAAACACCGTGCTCCTCAGCAGAAGCTGTAAAGTGGAGCGCAGAGCCCCTCGGAAAAAGCAGGAAAACCAGCAGAAGCAGAGCCAGGAAGCGGAAAACCCGCTGCACAAACAGGGAGGGTCATTTTAAAAAAGGCAACACAGACAAAATGGCAGGGGAAAAAGCAAAAGAATCAGTATACGTTGACAAAAGGGGAAGAGAAGGTGGAGTCAGAGGAAAAAGCAGTTTCAGGAAAGGAGAAGCATGGAAAAACGGGACAAGCAGAGCCATTTCTCCACAGAGCAGCTGAGGCTGGAAGGAGGAGCCAAGCCGGCACCACAAGGGGGCGCAAGAGAGCAACAGGAGCAGCAGCAGGGGAAAGGCAGGCAGAAGCAGGGTCCTGGGATGGTAGCAGGACTGGCTCAAGAAAGAGGGGAAACGAAGGCAATGGCAGAAGACAGAGTGCCAGCAAATGGGAAACAAAACAAAATGCTCCAGGAAATTGCGAAGCAGAACCAGAGGAAAAAGATGCAGAATCTGGTGAAAAAAAAAAAAGAAGTGAAAGTAGTCTTTTAAAATTCTTTCTAGGTTTTAGGTTCTGGGCATTCAAAACCTTTTTTTAAAAAAAAATCAAAACACTAGCTGAAGGAATAGAGATGTTAGAGACCACAAAAGACAAAGAATACAGATGGTAGAGTCTCTATACAAACAGCTACCACCCACAGTTTGTAACAAACATAACAAAGCTCCCCTTGGGATAAGGAAAAACCCAGTTTTCACTGTTACTATGTTGTAATATTAAAGATGCCCAGATTCAAACAATAACAATGAAAATTAAGAAGACATGCAAAGCAACAAGGAAATATACTTGATTCACAAATAAATGAACAAAAACTGTCCCTGAGGAAGCACATATATTTGGGTTGCTAGACAAAGAATTTGAATCAACTGTCTTAAATATGCTCAAACACTTAAATAGTCAAAACAGAAATTGCAAGGAAAATTAGAAAATAGTTTGAGAGGGAAGAGAACAAAAATACAACATACAAAATGTATGTCACAGGAAAAGTAGTGTTCAGAGAGGTATGTTTATGGCTGTATATAACAAAAGAGAGATTGCAAATCAATATACTAGATTTATAGTTCATGAAACTGGAAAAAATTAAAAGGGGAACCTAAGTCAAAGACAGCAGAGGAAAAGGAATAATGCAAAAACAAGTGACAGATTAGAAAAATGAGAGAACCAATTAAACGAAGATCTGGTTCTTTATAAAGAGTGATAAAAGTGAAAGCCCTATAATCCTGTGAGTTTTTTCCCCTACCTTTGAAAGTTTGTAAGCCAACTGCTTCATGCCTTTATCTCCCCCAATTTCAGTTATTCGTGGTGTCAGAAGTGGGATGCGAACCCACGCCTCCAAGGGAGACTGCGACCTGCGACCTGTTTCCAGCAAGATAGCCACTGAACAACATACCAGAGGGACTCCGCAGAAATCAGCGCAGGAGAGTCACCAAGAGGGAAATTCCACACTGCTGGGTCGCAGGAGGAGCATTATAAAGATAAGTAGGTAGAGATCCACTAAGTTTTGAGGAGCTGTGGGCTTTTGGCTTACCACTATGGAGGCTGACTAAGGCTTAACCTTAACCCTGCCACAGTCTCGGCCAGAGATGGGCTCCTTTGGCCAGCCCAATGGCTTTATCTCAACACAGCCACAGCTTGTCACTGCTTTGGGGCAGGGTTTAAACCCCTCCAGCCCCACAGTCAGGTGATTGGGGCTCAGCTATAGTGTTACTTTTGTTTCTCTCTTTTCTCTCTTTCCCCCCACAGTCTCAGCAGGCTGTGTTTTGTTTTGTTTTTCTCTCCGCTTTTCTCTCACACTCCACTCCAGACCTCCAGGCGAATCCCCTTAGCCTGGACCAGGTGGCTTCACTGGAGAATTCTACCAGGCATTTAGGGAAGAACTAACACCAATCCTACACAAACTCTTCCAGAACCTAGAAAGAGACAGCAAACTCCTGAACTCTTTCCATGAAGGTAGTATAACTCTGATACCGAAACCAGGCAAGGATCCCACAGGAATAGAGAACTACAGACCAATATCCCTAATGAACATCAATGTAAATATCCTTAACAAAATACTGGCCAACAGAATACAAAAGTATATAAAATGAATAATTCACCATGGCGTAGTGGGACTCACACCGCGGATGCAGGGATGGTTCAACATACAAAAAGTCCCTTAGTATTATTCGCCACATTGACATGGAAAACTAGAAGAACCACATGATAATATCAAGAGAGGTGGAAAAAGCATTCGACACCACCCATCACCAATTCCTGTTTAAGACACTCAGGAAGATAG